TATATTCAGTCTATCAGTTCTGCTCCTCTAGAAAACTCTGCATAATACAGATAAAAATAAATGCTATAAACAATATGCCCACATTGTGAAATTTCTGAATGAATGAGTACAGGATCACAAAGCATCACTTTATCTTTTAGAGGCAGACAGTAGTCTCAGGAGGCTGAGCCAGTGCTGCTTACCATACTCTGAGAACTCAACATGAGCTTCAGGACACCAGCTGTGGAGTGGAAATCTGCCATGGAGAATCAGTGCCTGGATGATGACAGATAACATCAGGGGACCAGCTAGACTGACATGAGAAGGCAGGGTGCTAGTCTCACATCAGCAGCAGGAAGCTCTCCTGACACACAGTGATGGTCCTGGTATGCTGGTGCACATGGTCCCACCAGAGTCAGTGATCTGAGAAGACAGCCATTGTTAACTGGGTCTGTGGCAAAAAGAAAAGACAATGCAGTGAAATCTTTTTGTGTCCTTGAATTAATACTCAACCTTTTAAAGTTATAATTTTAAGAATATATTTCTTTAAGCATTAAAGTTCAGCTTTGAAATCTGATCATAAATCTAATCTAAATCTAAATTTAGCAATTTTCAACAGCCACATTAACTGAGGCCTTCATTATGTTTATAAGCTTATCATTTGACTGCATTTAATGAACAAAATTTTATATTTAAAAGTATCAATTTTCTGAATGATAATTTTTTTTTTTAACTATTGGACTGGCTTCAGTGGCACATATAATAAAATTGGAGCGACACAGAGAAAATTAAGTTGGCATGGCCCCTGGGCCAGTATAACATGCAAATTTGTGAAGCATTCCATATTTTTGCTAAACAGTTGTCCTTATGTTTACAGACAAGTATACCACTTGCCACTACTCAAAGAAGCTTCTTATTGGACAGGTGAAGACTTACAGAGTTTTGCAACTGGTCAAACAGAGAATAAGTGTCTGAGATATCCAGCCCTAGTTGACAAATCCACAGTGGAGCCTCTGCACCTAAGGCTCATGGAGCATAGTGGAACCACGGGCAGAGAGAATACCAATGCATTTCTCAACTCTCACCAACAAAACTTCCTTATGCAAAAGATGTTGGTTAATAGAGAGCCCAAATTGCCAAAAATGTAGAGAATAAGAGACTACAGAGTGACTGTCCCTGGATAGGATTCCTGTATTAAAACTCTTCTACCTAGGGCTCAGGGACCACTGAGGAAGTAAACGGTGAGACTGTAAAAGCCAGGGGTGGAAGATGACCATGTGGAAACAGCTTTCCAGGCTCTGGGAACATGCTCATATGAACTTAAAGTAATGGTAACAGCATTCACAAGACATTTGCAGACTCAAACCAGACAAAAACCCAGCATAGAACTGGGGAAATGGGTAAGAAGCCTCAGTCTTAGCTGAGGAACCACTGACAGTTGATCATTGTTGGATGAGGGAGAGTTGGTATTTTGTAAGGGAGGCTAGGCAGGCTGATCAGACTTCTGAGGATGAACTTACACTTAGGAACATTTGAGGACACAAACTGGACTTGATAGACCTTAACATATATGGTGGAATGCATGAAATCCAGTGACAAGGTTATATCTGTACAAAGAGAGGAGGAGGTCTAGTATGATTAAGATGTATTGTATGGGATGTACCAAAATTCAGTAAAAATATATTCTGCAGAAAAAAAAATTTCCACAGTATTTTAAGTCTTGAAATATATAAAACTCCTTATATTTCCTAAAATGTAAGTTAAAGGTTAAGCACTATACAATCTTAAATTTTGAAGTTCTACATAATCTTTGTATAATTTCAACTATGAATTGTAAATCTTAGCCAAATGTTGTGGTTTGCTTGGATGTTCAATTTTGTTTTCTGTTGGACTGAATTTACTAAAAATATTTGAATCACATAAAACATTTGTACCTATTTATAAATTTCTAGATATTAACTTTATTGTCATTTTGATTTTAAAGATTTTTTTTGTATTTTCATTTAAAAATTAGGTGTATATGTTTTTGCATATGGGATTTTATGCCATATGTGTGTGTGTATCCACAGAAGGCCACAGCATGGTAGATATCCTTGGGCTGTTTTCCTCAGCACAATGTGGGTGCTGAGTATGGACCATGGATCCTGTTGAAGAACAAGAAATTCTCTTAGCCACTGAGGTCTCTCTCTATACTCAAAATGCCAAATTAAAGTTTGAAAAACAACTTCTTGGTATTGAAGCTTATATATCAGAAACTCTGGCTGTACTGGGAACTTGAGGCTTCCTGCATTTACAGTGGGATGCTCAAGCCTGGCTGTCATTGCCTTCTGTGAGCTTAGCTCTTACAGGGCTGAACCTCCACTGTATCCTTTTTTGCCTATGTGCAACTATCTGCTAATACTTAAGCTAGAACACAACCGTATCCTTTGATCAGATTCTGGAACTATTTATTTCATATCATACTTAAGTATATTTTCATAAAATGGTTAAATGTTACCTAATTCTAAATACACTTGAATCTTGCAGAACCCATAATATAGAATAACTTGTAACTTTCCATGGCATGGATGACTAATGAACTTGTGTGCTATTAGATTCTGTGTGCTTCAGGTTTTTGTATGCCCTTTTAGAACACTTACCTACTCACTAAAAAGAATGCCAGGCTACCAAGTGCAAATTCATAAAGCATACCTGAAGAGATATCTGTCACACTGAAGAAAAGTTACATATAACTTTCTATGTAGCAATGTGGTCCTGGATATTTGTGAGCTGACATTAGGATCACTGAACAAAAGGTCCTCTTTTCTTTTGATTTTGTCACCATTGCTAGCTCTCATTTGACCTCTGGTCAGGTTCCAGCTAATGTTTATCTGAAAGACAAAGGAAAATATACATCATGAGCAGGAGCAAAGGGCAAAGGGATGGGCTCTGTGAGCCAAAGAGCTTTGATCTCAAGCTTTGATCTAAGGTAGGTTTTCCAAATAAAAAGTTGTAAATAAAAATTTTCCAAGGATGCATCCCAAAGAAAGAAGACCAAAGGAAGAAAGAGGGCTGTGTCCCTTTTCCATGCATGGTCTCTGCTCTGCAGCTGAGATCTTCGGCATTAGGGAGTGGCTCAGGTGCATGAGTGGAAACTGTATGGCCCTTGACATAAGGACTCTGAAATGTGAGGTGAGAAATCATTGAGCATCTTGCTTCAGTGACTGTTGTATGAACATTCCCACATCAGAATGCCAAGCTGTTAATTTTACAGGGTCACAATTTCAAGAATGTGGACTTCTCAGTACAGAATTGGATATACATATATTCAACCAGCATAATGGATTCTTAATCATAGCCTAAGGGATAACAACAGAGAATTCCTTGAAGGGGATAGAGAGGTTTAGAAGTCCAGGAGCAGGAAGAACAGTCCGCAAGGGAGCACATTGGATTTATTCCCTTCTGAGGGCTATTCCTGAAGTGAAGACGGCTACCTCTGGGGAGGATTTTCTAAATCCCTGCACAAATAACATTGCTGCTGAATGGTGTGTAGCTGTGCTTCCCTCCAGGACTTGAGCAGTTTGGGATAAAATTTGCCCAGGTAGGCTACTAACTTGACAGTCATTCTTACTTTTGGATTTAACTCTTCTACTCCCAGACTGATTATTTAATTATATTCTTATTTGCTCACACACAGTAGATACCAAAGGCTGAGTGCCATTTCCATGCAGCTATGACTCAGATTTCATCCTTGAACCAAGTGGATGGAGCTCCTAGTGATGCACACTCTTTGCTTGTTTGGAAAGTGTAGATACAATACTCAAGTAAACATACCATGAAAAGGACAAGTTCAGATGCTTATGATCCAATTACAGTCCATGAAAAGTCTAACTGCAAATACAGGAGATGCTTTTCTGAGTTTGAAATAATTCATTTCAAAGTTTAACATTGAAAGAGAAGTATAATCTTTTACAATTCTAAACTAGGAAATATTTATGAGTACAGTAAATAGAGAATCATATTCATCTCACTATTGGTCTACAAGGTGAGTACTATGTTTTAAAGTGTATTAGTCATAAGGCAGTGTTAGATACATACAAGGTGACATTAAATGCATGGTTATATATTTTATCCCCATTAATAAGGGTACAACATCCATTAGGGAAACCTGGATATGGTCCTTCTTCCTATGGTGTGTGGTATCTGCCTTCTTGCCATGGTGGCAGTTGCATGGGTCTGAATGTGGGTAGTGAGACATGTAACTATGGCTGACCCATTGGAAGGAGGAATGTCTGTCGGGGAAATCCCAGGGTGGCCCTCCTCTTTATGTGGTATGGAATGACAGGCTTGCTTGATGACTGGGATCCACCATGTTAGAATGGAGGTGCTCTGAGAATGGCCGAAGGGTCAGAGCAGATTTTCCAATCCCTGAGTGTAGGATGCAAGGGATGAGAGTGTCTGCAGGCTGCTGTGGAGGCTGAGTGACAGCTGCACGGTCTAATAAGACATGTCACGGAGGCCAACAGGACTGTTTGTTGATAACTGACTTGGGTACATGAAGAATAAAAATGGGAGAGGGCTGTAACAGGCATCCCTGCATCAGCCTCTAATTTGGTTGGTAAATTGTACAAAAGAGAAGATGAGATGGAGGTTCTGGCTTGCCCTGTTTTTTTTTTTTTTTTTAACTGTGGGGTGGGGGCAGCAAAAAAACAATACTTATTAAACCTGTGGTGAAAAGCCCCTCCTTGAATCCAAACATTTGTATGACACTGAATCCAGATTTGTTACACAGTAGTGTCCTCTTAGTTGAAACATTTTCTCCAGGAGGGCGGGAGAGGCTCATGAGAATGGAGACCTGAAGAAAGGTCATATGCCTGAGAAAGTGGAGGCTTGGAAGATTCTCCAAGGCCCCTAGCCAGCTTTATAGAAGCAGTAAGAAATGTTAGGGATAAACACTCACCATCAGAGCAGCAGAGAACTCCAGGGAGCTCCAGCATTGAGCTTCTGGGAGCCTGTGTCAGGGTGAACTTTCCACTGATACGGCTGCTTTTGAGTCACCCCTGCTCTGGTAAGTAACCCCTCATTCCTGCTAGAACCCCAATAAAAATTCTGTGATTCACCTACTTGATTTTAGCACTTTTGTTACTTTAGTCTGTCATGGATCCCCTATCTGGGTAAGTAGATGTGTGTGCAGCATCTCCCCAGAAAAAGTCTGAGTCTGTCATTCATCAAGGTGGGTGAATTAATAGTGGTACAATGCAGGAAAACATGACTGTCCAAGAGCATTCTGTCTTTGGATTACGTGTATTGGGAAAGACGTTTTTTTTTTCCAAGGAAAGTTTTTTCTTTTTTAAAAAAAAGTTGACTGAAGACTTAAAAATGTCCATTCTATAACTTTCATACAATATAGTTCGATGTTTTTTTAGATTCCCTCCCCTAGAGGTAACAGAGGCAGTGACAGATCTGGGTGACGTAGACCAGCATGTAAATTGGGTATGCAAAGTGGTAAAGCAATCTAGAGTTGATGAAGATGGGTAAAGCAGAGAGTGGAGCTGTCAACATTTGTGTTAACCTGGAGCTTCCAAAGCCGGGGAGGCAGGCTGACAGATAAATGATGTGTTATTGTGTTTCTTGTAGGTTTTAAATCCCAGAGAACAGGCCAGACTAAGTCATATGGTGTAGAGCTTCCCACCACCCTTTGAAAACCTATAAAAGTAAGGAATTTCTTCATAGAAGCATAAAACAATGCAAATGAAAAAGACCACACTTATCCTGGGGCGGGAAGTCATGCCAGTATAATGTGCACTGTTGGGGACCTCTGTTATGCAAAGTAGAAGCCCCTTCATGTCCAGACAGCTCATGCAGCTCAGG